GATTTTAAATTGCAAGAGAATTAAAATACTGGTTCTGCCACTTCTCTATCTGGGGTTAAGAGAATTAAACTTTTTCCTCATATTTATGAGTACTTCCAAGTTCTCAATCTGCATCCTCTACAAACTATCGTTGTTTATCAAATTGCTCTGATCTTGCTGCGGCTTCATTTGGATGTCGATATCCTGAACAAGGGTAGATGCCGCTGCTCTGCCACTTCTCTATCTGATTCCTTTTTTCTCCGCCTTTTACGACAATGCCTGTTCTCCTCCCATTCTCATCTTCGTTTCTGTTCGATCTCTGTTTTGACGTCAAATGGTTCGAACGTGACGAGCTTTTACCGTCTATCGTTCTTGGGCGTTCTGGTGACGTCGCGTTAGTGCGTCTGCTGGCTGCTGTCAATTGAGTAGTAGCATGGCGAACGTATTTGTTTTCGGATATGCGTTTGAGCTGAATTCGTATGGGTGACCTCTCCTGCTGGTTGAGCGCACGTATTAACATGGAGTTTCACTTTGAACATGTATTTCTGTTGATACCTGCGATCGATCGAGCTGACCGATCGAGCTGACCGAGTGTGCGTGTTGGGCATACGTGATTACTTAGGCGCACAAGTTCGGGACGGAGAAACTTTACAGAACTCGGAAACAGAGCTCTTGATGTTCAAAGATTTACTTGTCCTGTTTTTCCAACCAGAAAAACTTAAAAATCTGGAGGTGTTGAGAGATTTAGTCGATAACAATTCGAAAAATTAATATTCATACTGTGGTTTCGCTAATTCTGAAGGAAATTAGCAATGGGGATTAATTGTTTGGGATATCTGGAGAAACTCCGTAAATTTCAGCAACAGAACCCCCCAACCCCAGGAGATGCAATTTTCTGCGTGCCCCTTTTTTTTTCATTTTCTCCTCATCTCCCTAGTTTGCAGACAATCCTTTCTGTTACTAGAAAAATACTGATGACATTTTTCATTTCTTTCCTGGAAAAAAAATAGAATTATGAAGGAAGCATCTGTTGATATGATGAATATCATGCTGAACAAACTATGAAGGAAAGAAATTTGGTGCTTTTAGACCAAGCTATTCAATGTTTAAAAGTAAAACCCCTAATAGGTCACATGACAAAGCCATGTCACTCTCACGTGAGATCTCTGGGTTCGATTCCCCTGTGCGCTAAAGGCGCGATCAACAAATATATACTTATAAGTAAAAACCTCTAATAGTGCTACTGAAAGGGTTGATAAGAGAAGTTTATATGCAATTGGCCGTATGTAATAAATAATAAATCTATAATGCTCCGCTATCCTACAATTTGGAAATAATAAATTCCTTTAATTGTGATGGCTGATCTTTACCCCACTCTCAAAAATTGACAAAAATGTCTAAAGTTGGTGAAAGAGTGAATCACATAAATACTTATACTGTTTGCAGAACTTGAATCGAAGTCTAATAAATTTGCTTAGTAAGAGAAATTTGCTGAGAATATAAGATCATAAAGGGTACATGTTACTGTATAACTGAATGACATAAGAATGATAAAAAGGAAACAGAGAATTAGCGAGAAAAAACTTCCCACAAAGTCTATCAAAGTTAGCTTCATTTCTCAGCATAAACTTACAGTATTTTTCAATGTTAGGCAAGTCAACAAAAAAGCAAAACTCAAGTATTAAAATCAGTTATCAGTCCTCATTAAAAAAAATTACTATCTCTAATCAAACTCGGTCAGAAACTCAACTGGAGGTTTTACTTACATGGAGAACAATAGACGCTCATATCAGTATCAAATTTGTCTTTGTACATTTTCCTCATGTTACACACCAAAAAAAAAAAAATCCCCCCAAACAAGAGCCCTCAACTAAAGATTCCATCCATTCTCATGACAGCAAGAAAAACAATTTGCATTGTCCAAATAGCAATTATCATCTTTAAACTTTTCACGGGTCAGAATCTATAGAAAATTTTACTTACATGGAGAACAGGAGACTCATATCAGTGTAAATCTTGTCTTTTTACAATTTCCTCATGTTGTTGAAGAATATCCCCCAAACGAGACGTCAAGTAAACATATTACATGTGAATGCGAGACGAGACAGTAAAAGATGTTTATAGCCCTGCATAAAAAAATCTACAAGTGAAATCAAGAGTTCCGTTTACTTTGGAAATCAACAAGTCTAATCATTATTTACCGCTATCAAGGCTATCACACACACAAAAACAATTTCCTTCTGGGGATAGAGGCGTTGTCTCCTGCTTTTCAAGATATGAAACCTGCAAAATTTAATCGTTTTTTAAGGCAAGAAAATATAGAAAAATACAGCCAAAAGGATCAACATTGTAGTTCTAGAACATAAACATTACATCATTATTTTATTAGTTGTTTTCAAGTCATTACATCCAGTATTATTATCGACTTTAAAGCTTATACTTGTGAGTGTAGACATAGTGAGTTTAGAGTTTAAAGACACACATAGATATGGCAGGAAGTTATCTTTCCGGAAATCTGGAGAATCTAATACCCCGATGAAAAGAAAAGTCACAATTACACAGAAAATACCAATACTCCAATATTTTTAGTGCACAACACATTTCACTTAAGCAGGAAACATCGCTTAAGAGGGGAAGATGAGGATAAAAAGGATAATGTATAGATAACAACAGAGCCCAAGTATTGTAAGCAGGAAATGTTTTGACAAATTTTGGACAAACAAAACCGAATTGGGTTGGTTTGGTTCAATTTGTTCAGTTGGTATTTAGACCTACTTAATTAAGAAATGGTTATTCTTGCACAACAGAAAGACACAAATCAGGAGATAGGTAAAGAAAGATGTAAACCAAGTGGACACAAAAAAAATGAGGAGAAAAAAGAAGAGAAATTATGAATAATGAGAAGAAGAAAGGTGTGAGTTTTAGATAATTAAGAGATCGGTCAGTTAAGCTTGGTTCGGGTTTAAATTTTTTCAAGGAGCAAATCTATCAAAATTCAATCCATTCAATTAATGTAATCAGTTCAAATCGATTAATGCTCACCCCAATAGAGATAATTTTGATTCTAGAATGACCATAAACATGTAACATAATTGAAATAGCAATGAAAAGACTATATCAGAGGTTCCATACAACACTCACAGTCTTCCAACCATAAAATTAAAGTAGAAGATGAAAATTATTATTTTCACGTTAGACACATACAATGCTGCCTATGTTTTATATAAATAATGTATAAGAGCAAGTGCAGCAAGCTCCCAGTTGGGAGTCCTAGTCAGCATGCTCTCAAGAGCTCTCAAGCTTTTCAAAATAAAAAATTAACAAATTATACCTTGGGAGGCACTCCTTCTTTTATGGAGCTCCAACAAGCTCCTAGTTAGGAGCTCCAATAATATCAAAAAAATCCCTCTTCTATTTTAATATTTCACCCATTACTTTTAATTATATTTAAACCTCTTGTATTTTATTTCTAACCGTTGCACACGGTCTTCGAGACAACCCACGGTCTTCGAGGGAGCGCACACGGTCTTCGAGGTAACCCGCGGCTTTTGAGGGAACGCACACGGTCTTCGAGGCAACCCACGGTCTTCGAGGGAGCGCACACGGTCTTCGAGGTAACCCGCGGCTTTTGAGGGAACACACACGGTCTTCGATGTAACCCGCGGTCTTCGATGTTAGGCACGAGGTTCGAGGTATCGCAAACTTTGACCGTCATCCGACTGATGCCTATAAAATTCGACGGCTTCTCTCCTCAACCCATCATCTCCCAGAATAAAATGTCTAGCTCATCTAGCTCTAGCGATGATGAAATGATGAAGAAGTTCTTTCTTATGGGAGCTGTTGTCGTTGAGGAAGAAGAACAAGAGAAATGTTCAACTTCAGTTCAACACAAACGACGTATCGTGCTCCATCGAAACCGACTGGAAGACCACAATCGGTTATTCCAAGATTATTTTGCTGACGCACCAACCTATGCTCTTTATTATTTTCGTCAAAGGTTCAGAATGAGGCGTTCGTTATTCCTTCGAATCCACAACGCAGTCGTCGAACATGACAAGTACTTCGTCCAAAAGAGGAATGGTGGTGGACAGTTAGGACTATCTAGTCTTCAAAAGATTACTGCAGCTATGCGGATGCTCGCATATGGAGCATCCGCTGACTCCGTTGACGACTACGTTCGGATCGGTAAAAGTACGTCGCTTGAGAGCGTGAAGAGGTTCGTTCGATCGATTATCAACATCTTTGGAGAGGAATACCTTCGTGCACCGACTAATAAAGACGTTGCACGCCTGCTCGAGGAAGGCTCACAACGAGGTTTTCCTGGTATGCTTGGGAGCATCAACTGCATGCACTGGACATGGAAGAACTGTCCAACTGCCTGGCAAGGTATGTATACTGGACATTTTCATGAACCCACAATTATTTTGGAGGCCGTAGCTAGCAAAGATCTTTGGATATGGCATGCCTTCTTTGGACTGCCGGGGTCTCACAATGACCTTAATGTTCTACATCGTTCACCGGTTTTCGCACAACTTGCGGAGGGAAGAGCTTCACCGTGCAACTATACTGTCAATGGCCACGAGTATAATATGGGATACTATCTCGCCGACGGGATTTACCCAGAGTGGTTCACATTAATGAAGACTATTCCAGCACCTCGAGGAAACAAGCATAAGTACTTTGCTCAACAACAAGAAAGCGTAAGAAAAGATGTTGAGCGAGCTTTTGGCGTGTTGCAAGCTCGATTTGCGATTGTTCGTGGACCAGGACGTTTCTGGCAACCTTGTGTGCTGAAAGATATCATGACAGCTTGTATCATAATGCATAACATGATTGTTGAAGATGAACGTGATTGTCAATTGGACAACAACTTCGACTTTAATGATTCGATACCAGTCGTTGAACCTTCTCATGTGCAGACGGTGCCTCTAACTGAGTTCATCCAAAATCATCATCGGATCAGGAACACGCAAACACACAAATCACTAAAAAATGATTTGATCGAGAAGGGGTCCATCGCCGAGGATTAAGTTTCTTTATGTCTAATGTAATTTCAGAAAAGGAGTTCAAGTTGTTGTACTACGCCAATTTCATTTTTAATAAAGTAGTTGTTTTCATTCAATGCCAAAATTTTCAACTTCAAGTACAATCATAAATCTAATATAAGATACTAATTGATAATTAGGAAGAACTAATGAGGATGCGATGCGAGTACAATATATGATAATTAGGAAGAACCCTTGGACATCCACCTCTCCAAAATCTCTGCCTGGCGCATTTCAAAGTATTGACGTTGAACTGAATTGAGTGTTGAGATATCGATCTTCATGATATCGTCATCTTGTTTCTTCTGTTTTAGCTCCATTTTTTCTTTGTTGGTTTGCTTCATCCACGCGAAAGCCTCTCCCATAATGGACTTAGCGGACTCAGATTTCTCCACATTTTGTTTCCTCTTGAGTTTTGCCGCTTTCCTCCCTTCAGGCCTTGCTATAACATCATCCGAGTCAATGTTCAACTCGATGGGGGTCGCTGGCATGGAATTGTTTGGTGAGGAATCAGAGTTCGTGGTTCTTCTCGGCTGTGATCGAATCTTATTGTAATTTTTCATTTGTTGGCTCCACTTTTGGTGATGACGCAACTCAACCCAGCAATGGTCAAACACGAGTGGCTTACCATAAAGGGATTGGTATAATTCTTTTACTTCTGCAGTCTACACAAGAGTTAAATTTAGAATAATCAAACATATAAGTTAAATATTTACATAAAAACATATAAGTTAAATATTTACCTGGTCAATAATTCCCGTACCAGATCTTTGTCTTCCTTCAATCTGAGCAACGCACCCGCAGAACTTGTTGACCGACAGTTGAATCGTTGACCAACGGTGCATCATTTGGTTTGGTGTGCGACTCGTTGGATCGGTGGAGTATTGGATAAAGTAGTCGTTAGCTCTGTGCCAAAACTTATCGCAGCAAGCTCCCAGTTGGGAGTCCTAGTCAGCATGCTCTCAAGAGCTCTCAAGCTTTTTAAAATAAAAAATTAACAAATTATACATTGGGAGGCACTCCTTCTTTTATGGAGCTCCAACAAGCTCCTAGTTAGGAGCTCCAACAATATCAAAAAAAACCCTCTTCTATTTTAATATTTCACCCATTACTTTTAATTATATTTAAACGGTAAAATTTTTATACAACGGTAAAATTTTCAACGGCATGATTTTACAACGGCTCAATTTTTATACATCGGTAAATTTTACAACGAATTGAAATCCCCACCTCGACCTCAACCTCAAACAGTGACACAACTCAGCCGATTAAAATAAACTCAAAACACTCATCTTCTCCCCAAATCCCAACCCCAAATCCCCAAATCCCAACCCCAGTCGGAGGCCTCATCTTCTCCCCCAGTCAGAGGCCTCAAACAACCTCGTCTTCTTCCCAGTCGGAGGCCTCATCTCCGCGAACACCAAGCTCCTGAAATCATCCACCTGTTTCCCCTCCTCTTCCACATCTCCGGCGCCTCATCTTCTACCCAGTCGGAGGCCTCTTCTCCCCAAATCATCTTTGTTTCCCCTCCTCTTCCACATCTCCGGCGCCTCTTCATCTCCCGTTGGATTTTTGGGGGGGGTTGTTAAAATCCGGCAGCTTGGGAGCTCCCAAGCGCTCTACAAATTTGTGGAGCGCTTGGGAGCTCCGAAGCTCTCCACCTCCACGTCATCGCTTGAGAGCAGGTTGGGAGAGCTTCGGAGGCTGTTGGAGGGGGCTAAATCGGAGGAGGTGTCCACGTCGGAGCTGAGAGCAGGCTTGGGAGCTTGCTGCCCATGCTCTAAGTATACTTAAGAGTAAATTTCACAGAACCACAGTGCAATGAAATGTCATGTTGAAAGAAGTTAGTTTAAGGTGTTGTGTTAAATGTGATATGTTTCTCCGAGACCACACCAATTGAATGCTTGTAGACAATTAACATTTTCGTCCATGAAAAATGAAAGATATATAATGATATATTGATCCTTGCCACTCCACTATCTGCCTTACGATGAGAGCATTTGCATTCAAAATTGGCATACAATTTATCTAACAATACAGAACTAAATATAGGAGAATAAAAAAATAGCATTGGCCTTTGCTAAATGAAAACTTCTCTACGCGTAGAGATATAACAACCTAGGTAGCGCGGACATGGACACGGACACGAACATGGGACAGGACAAATTAGTAAAACGTAGGATACAGTGACACATTATATAATACACACACATGATCAAATATTAAACAAAAAATACCAATAACATTTGTATGTTTCTTTCTATTATCTATAACAACTAAGAATCAAGTTAAATCGAACCAAGAATAAGATTTAACAATAAAAAGTTTAGTTTTGACTAAATGGGATAATATGATGGGAGTTTTTCAAATATTAAGTAATGAGTTTCAGTTTACAGGTTAAAAAACAATTGGTTTTGAACCTAATATTACCAGAGAAACTAGTTTAGTGTATAAATAATGGGAAATCGAGGTTTTTTTTGAATCACAAGTGTCCATGGAATGTCCACAGAGAGTTAGTGTCGGGCATGTGTCGGACACGGACACGGCACCCACAATAAAGTGTCCATGTTACCTAGATAACAACACAGTTATATAGCAGCCGACAACAAAGTCTTTATCCGAAACTTTTGGGGTTGAATGCTTGAATCTTATTTTTCCATTCATTTCTGTTAAGAGTTATCTCCTCCGCTTATGCCCGACTCATTTTCATTTCCTTTTGACTATCTTTAGTCCTCATTGCCCTCATCAACTATAATCTTATCAAATTTTCTAACTAGATATTCATTGCACATGACCAAACCATCTCAATTGATCTTCATTCATTTTATACTTAATAGGAGCAACCTTTCACCTCGTGCAAAAGCACTCATTTTCTGTTTTTTCTCTTAGTGTATATCCAAGGTCATTAACATTCTCATCTTTGCTTAGATGCGTTTCTTTGCATGTTGTTTCTTAGTTTCTCAGCATTCTAAACCAACAAACCATATATCATTATTCATCTTAGCGTTGTCCTATATAATATCTTTTTCAGTTATATAAGTTCGTAAAACTTGTAGACCTTAATTCACAGAAAACCTTATGTTTTGTAAATTTCATTTCTTAATTGTCCAACATTTGGTCTATGGAACAGTTTGCCCACCTTCGTAGTTGCTTATCATTTGTCTCTTCTTCATTTGCTCTCGCTTTAGATGTTACTTACCATACATATATCTTTAATCAATTAATACACCTATCACTACCAGATACTAGTTTCTTTTCTAAAACCCAACTACATTGATTCCCTCAGCGCTTTATGATAAGATTTTCCTAGATGGCTTATTTATCATCATTACAACTCAGTCATGTGCATCAGCATCTCCAATCTACAAAACTAAACACTTGTGAAATTTCATTCACAAATAGATTCAAAAGAGAAAGTTGGGGATTAGAAAAAACTACTCACATGCCATTGGAAACACATATGACGAGGCTAATGTACGCAATAGTAAACCAAAATATCTGCCAATCTTCAGGGACTGGGCACCTTGCAGGTTCCGTTGCCTGATCCATTTCATTTCATTTCATCAGAAAGATTGCTATAGATCTAAAATATCAAATAATTTTAACTTAAAAAAGTCAAAACTCCAGATATTTTTATCATTTAACAACAGCGAGGTAACACGCACTTGAATGAATGAAATTATCCTTAAACCCTGAAAACCTCAAGGCCTCGACAAAAATGTAAAACAGAAAATTTACCCTAGAGAAAAATCTATGCCGTGATTTCTTTAAAATGATTAAATATGGGGATTTTGATCGATTTGTTTGGAGAAAGACAAAACCCTAGAGAGATTCCTTGAACCCTAGAAATCTAAATTTTCAAAAAAAAATTGATTTTTAAAAACCCAAAACCTCGGTCTTATTTTCTTGATTAACGACTAGTGAGGTAACAAGAAATTGAATGCGGATTGACCCTTAAACCCTGGAAATCTCAAGATCCCAGAAGAAATGTATAAAAAAAGTGAAATTTAAAAAAACAGACTAAGACTTTTAGAGACATCGCATGTAGATAATAGATTAATAAATAGGAAAAATTAAAATATTGCATGATTTATTTGATTGCATTACCATCGATGGAGGATGAAGACAAAACCCTAGGGCCGAGATCTTTCTCCGCTTATTTTGGGCTTCAAATGGGACAAAATTGGCGCCGTTAAAATGTACCTGCGGTTGTCTGTAAAATGCTAAAAGAGTTGCTCTCGTCTAACGCGGGAAATTATATGGGCCGGGCTTGGGTTAAATTTATTTGTATTGGGCTTAACTTGTTGAGCCTAATAAGACGCAAATATCGTACTTATTTGTATTGGGCTTAACTTCTTGGGACTTACTCTGTTTCTTTATCACACCAAAAAATATAAAAAATAAAAAAGTTCATTACTAGTTTTGAAGCATGTTATATTTATGGATCAAAAAACAATTTGAAGAAAAAGCTTCCGATAGGTGATTACATTTTATGATCATCAAATATTTATAAGTATTTGAATTTTATATTTTTGTGTAAAAACTAAATGTTCTTTATTATAAAAGAAATTACAGATAAGTTCAGCCTACGGGAAGCTACACACTGAGCATCCACCTCTGCTAACGGAACGGACTTTTTTGTAAGACTTAGAACAGTTGTTTTCTTTTTCTTTTTATTTTATGGTCAAAAAAGTAAGAATAGGGTTGCCGTGACTGGGTTTCTTCTATTCAAATGGACACAAAAATCATCTTGCCAATTAACGCTAGCCCTTTCTCAAAATCAAGACCGCATTATTTTTAATTTTCAAAGGGTCCCACTGCTCTGTGTTACACCAAATTGTTTGTTTTGGTTTTTTGGTTTTTTTTCCCTGTTAAAATATAATTCAGATTTGATTAACTAATGTTTAAATTAACAAAAGTTCAACTAGAACGGTCTATTTGGTGCAATTTGTAGAATTTGGAAGATTTTTTTCAAATAACATCTACTAGGGACGTATTTCAAATGATCTAAGTCTTAAGGGACCAGTACGTTAAAAAATTCTGCCAGTAACCATGATAAAAATGATGATAACTACCATATTATATAGAGAAAATTGTGTCTAGGCCCCCCAAAAATAAAGGCGATGTGACCAGGCCCCCCATACTTTTTTTTTGCCAAAGCCCTTATTACATAAAGTAATAATGTTTCAGCCCCTTTTTCATTCCCCAGACAGCACAGAGAGCAACTTAAGTTGAAAACCCAAAATTGCCCTTGCTTTCTTTCTCTCTCTCTCTTCTCTCTTCAACAAAAACAAAACCCTCCATCGATCATTAACGTCCTCGTCTCCTTCATCCCCTCCCCTCCCATTCTCTCCCAAGTCCTTGCCCAGTTCCTCACCTCCAGCCACCATCACGATCCATTCCTCGTCGGACATTTCATCAAACACCTTGCCTTCTCTCTGCCCTCCCCTCGCCTTGCTGCCTCCCTCTTCTCTCTCCTCCCAAACCCCGACGCATTCATCTTCAACACTGTCATCAAGTCCTTCCTCCTTAATTCCCAAGTCCTCTGCTTGCCAAGCTGTTCTCTCACATCGGTCTTGCTCCAAACGAGATGTTGTTGCGTTCCCAGATCGTGAAGCTGGGGTTTGAAGAGGATTTGTATGTTCGGAACTCAGCGATTCATATGTACGCTTGCTTTGGCCATCTGGGCAGCACTTGGAAGTTGTTTGAGGGTTTTGTTGAGGAGGCTGATATTGTTACTTGGAACTCGATGATCGACAGGTGTGTCAAGAATGGGATGGTGGAGGGTGCACGGGAGTTGTTCGACGAAATACGTGACAATGATTTGGTTTCTTGGAACACTATGATAGGGGGCTACGCGAGTGTGGGAATGATGGAGAAGGTGAGGGAGCTGTTTTCTATTATGCCAAAGTGCGATGTCGTTACGTGGAATTCGATGATTGATAAGTATGCGAGGGATGCTAACGTTGCACTTGCTCGTGGGTTTTTCGACTTGATGCCTAAGAAGAGCTTGGTTTCTTGGAAGGTAATTTTAGCTTTGTACGCAAGGGGGAAGGATTATAAGGAGTGCTGCAAGTTGTTTGATTCGATGAGGAGCGACGAACCTCTTGGCGTGTTGCAGCTGGGAGGAGGAGGAGGAGGAAGGGAATGAGTGAGCTTGCAGAAGAAAAGAGGAAGAAGATGTTATTTTTATAATAGGATTGTTTGTACTCTTTACTCTTGTATAGTTTCTCCAGAATTGCTTGTAACGTATCATGTTTCATTGTTCAGTTGATTATATTATGTGTTCTTGTGACTTGATTGTACTTAGATCAAAAATTAATGAAATGTATTGTGTCTATTTAGCGATCAATTTTGGTGTAATTTATTACGATTGTATGTGATATGTTAATTGTGGTTGTCATGTGTGAATATGTACAAGTTCATTCAAATAGAACAATTTGGATGGAAAGAGTATGTTTTGTACATATCTAAGTGTGAATATGTACAAGTTCATTCAAATAGAACAATTTGGATGGAAAGAGTATGTTTTGTACATATCTAATTTCTAGATTAGAGACTTCATTCAAATAGAACAATTTGGATGGAAAGAGTATGTTTTGTACATATCTAATTTCTAGATTAGAGACTTACTAAGGTTGTAATTTGCCTTATATGCAAGTATGTTTGAGGGTACTGGTTATGAAATCTCAAATACAAAGGAAAAATATTACAAGTGATTTGCTATTGTGATCCTAAACATGCTTAAAATCACAATGCTGGAGGATCAACAATTTGGTGTGTACTCAGTCATGTGTGAGAAATTGATTCATGACATAAGAAGTATGAAGCTTGTTGGCTTTAACCTGAACATGTTAGCTTTCACGTGAGAATGTTAACTTTCATCTGCATATATTAAATTTCAGGTGTATATGTTAACGTTCACGTGAACATGTTAACTATCAGCTATATATGTTAACTTTCATCTGCATATGTTAACTTTCTTATGAACATGTTAACTTTCAGCATAGTATGTTAACTTTCACTATTACATGTCAGCCTTCTTTATTACATGATAACATGCAACTGAATATGTTAACTTATCAAATGTACATGCTAAATATTAGTTTTTCCTGTTATAGAATACTGCTGAAACTCAAATAAAGATTACAACAAAACATTCTGTCAATTTTGCTAACTTCTCAAACTAATCATCAACTGTGCTCAAGTCCCACCTCACTTCACACACACAAACTGAGACACAAAGATCACAATAGTATGAACCAAGCCAACAATAAGAGAGACACAAAACAGTAAAAGCTATAAATATACATGTTTAGCTGAAAGTTAACATATTATTATGAAAGTTAACATGTAACAGTAAAAGTCAACATATTATGACGAAAGTTAACATGTTTACCTGAAAGTTAACATGTTACAAGGAGAGTTAACATATAATGGTGAAAGTTGACATAATTTACGAGGAGAGCTAACATATAATGCAGTGTATGATATGAATAAGCTCTACTTAATGCTGGTGGATGTCATCTTCATATTAGCAGACCAACCAAACTAAAATTATACTACAAGTCATAGTAAAGATCAACTTGTAGTTAACTTGCATATGTGTTCAATGTCAGTGTTTCTAAAGTAGTTCACAAACTGTATGTTCAATGATAAGACCATAAATCAACATCAATTGCCATAGCTGGGGAATGAAACATGAACAATCCATGGACCCAATATCTGAATGGCAAGTAAGGCACAAGAAAAATGATAAAGCACCAAAAATTCATACGGGATATCCACATTAAACATCTCCAATCCAGTTTCTCCATTCACAAGTCCAAAATTGTAACACCCCGCCCCGGAATCCCGGAGTCGGTACGCTATTAGATCTGATGGACTGGCCTCACAAACCACCAAGATGCATCTTTTTTTCGAAAACCCAACTCTTAGAAACTCTAAAGTTAAGCATGCTTGGCCTGGAGAAATTCTAGGATGGGTGACCCCCTGAGAAGTTTTCCAGGGAGCATGTGAGTGAGGAGGGCACCACAAAAATATAACAAGTATATAAAACACATCCCCCTTTGAAGCTAGTACATACATAAAGTGCTTAAGCTACAGGGCTGAACAACAAATCCTACCCAGTATAAAATCCCATACTAAATGCTGTCAGCATCAATTTCATTGCATCAAGCCGCTTATATTTAAAAACCAACAATCATTCAAATTCACAATGCTAATTACAAATATCCCAAGGAATGAGCAACAAAGCTTTTAACATACTACACCAACGATTTTCGACATATAAACAGTATATTGACAATCACCCCCAATGAAGTTTGTACACACTCACTACACACTTACTTGCACTTTGGTGATGAGGGCCTCATGGGCCAGCTCGGCGCTGGTGATGACGATGAGACTATGGGAGCCCATGCAGAGGTTGAATATTGGGCCGTAGAGGGCGCGGAGGTCACGTATGTAGTCATTTAAGTAAACATGTAGCTTTTCATTTGAACATGTTAAATTTTCCAAAAATCCATTAAAGTTTTTGAAATTTACCACGATGAGAGTGCGGGAGTCCAAAACCCATCTGCTCTCATCTACAATTGCAACATTCACTCAGAAACAATTCAGTTCCAGCAACTCTAAGCAGATAGTAATTAGGCCCAACACTGAGACGAAAACACATACCATAAGAACAATATCACTATTTGAAAAATGGTTCTTTCGACATTTGATTTAACAATGTAATGTAATTTGTTTCAGTAGTCTTTTTCCACCAAGCAAATGACTTCAAAATGCAACCGGCATGCCTTTTCCACGGCAATCACAGAAAAAGCTAGCACAACCCTCAGAAGGAAACGAAGCCAAAGAAGCAACACAACCCTTCTTGAGCTCATTAAACCTATTAAGATCAAAACTGCAGGCCTTCATGAGCTTTTCCACGGCTCCATTACAACCCATGAGAGCTCCCAAGAGGTAAGCCTCATCAATCCAATTGTTTGTATTAATATAAATCTGAGACCATACCATAGCTCCCTTTTAACGCCGGTCTCTGCGAATTTATCTATTGTTGCTTTCTGCTCTTCAAGCTCTCGAAGCTCCTCCTTTTGGCATCGATTCTTCTGCTGGGGAATTGATAGAGGATTATGCTGGGGGATTGATAGAGGGATTACGCTCTCAACGATTTTAGCTACCTGTGACATCAGAAGGAAAAGAAAAAAAGGCTTTGGCTACTTGGTTTTCGAGAAGATGACTGAGCTTTAATGGACTGAAAACTAGGGTTTTGAAGTTGGGTTCTCAAGATGGCTGAGCGTTGAGCCTGAGAAGAGAGAAGAGAGAAGAGAGATAAAGGAGGATAGTTTTGGGTTTTTGAAAAAAAAATTCTCTTTATGCTGTCTTGGAACTTTAAACAGGGGCTGGAAATAAGTATTTTATGTAATAAGGGCTTTTGACACAAAAAAAAAAGTATGGGGGCCTGTTCATAACGCCTTTATTTTTTTGGGCCTAGATACAATTTTCCCTATTATATAAATCAATAAATTCATACAATTTTTCTTTTTTTTAGATAAATACAATAAACACACGTCATGTTTCCGTTAAATTCCAGCTCCGGATTCTCGAGAACATGCCGTTTTCGGACATCAAAAGGTCCAAATGCAGCTGAGGCCCCACCACTTTCTCAAAAATTGATAGCAGCGCATCTACCTGTCCACAAGCCCACAACCGACACCAAATTCCGCGACAAAGACTTTATTATTACGATGATAAATCACGACTTCGGTTTTAAACAGGATATATATATATATATATATATATATAATATAATATATATATATATATATATATATATATATATAATATATATATATATAGAGAGAGAGAGAGAGAGAGAGCGAGAGGAATATGAGTATGCTTGGTACCAAGCATAAAATTTGTGCTTACTAGTGAGGTGACATATTATCCTCCACTCATTCAAATGAGGGGACCACATTCACGATGAGTTGAATGTGGTCACCTCAGTTGAATGAGTGGATGGGAATGAGACACCTCACTACCAAGCAGCAAAATTTATGCTTGGTACCAAGCATACCGCATTTTTTTCATATATATAGATATATAATATTATATATTATATATATATATAATAATATATATATATAAGAGAGAGAGAGAGAGAGAGAGAGAGAGAAAGAGAGAGAAAATAATGGAGGTGAGCTGGCAGCTCACCTCCCCGTGAGCTGCAAGTGTATGACATATGTGAGACCCCCTACTAGTCACACTCGGTGTGGGGCTCACATGTCATACACTTGCAGGCTCATGGGGAAAGGTAAGCTGCCAGCTCACCTCCATTATATCATATTATATATATGAGATTAATGGGTATCCTTTGTCATAGGGAGATTTCCTCCTATGACGCCTCTAAAATCACATGATTGAGCGACATTATGGATGATCCGCTCCGTTGAACTTGCTCTACATATTCTAAAACCACCAACACACGAAGTTTGGTGTGAACCCGTCGTCGTTGACCCTTCATCCACTCGTTATCAATTTTAACGGTTTTTGAATGAATAGAACTTTTCACATGGCTCGATGGAGGGTCACACGACGCGGATTCACCCCAACTTGGTGTGTTGGGGTTTTAGAATATGTAGATCAAGTTCAACGAGCGGATCATCCATAAGTCGCTCAATCATGTGATTTTAGAGGCGTCAAGGGGAAATCCCCTCCTATGACATGATATATATATATATCATATTATATATATATATATATATATATATATATATATTATATAATATATAACTATATATATATAGTTATATATAGCGAAGCAATATTGAAATATATATCAAGGCGAAGCAGCAAATTATTGATAATATATAAATTAGGCTAAACATAAAAAAGTTCCATTTAGAGGGGATTAGTCAAGTTGAGTTCAGAACATACTAGAACTAGAATAATGTGTGAGATGAAATCTTATGATGTTATCAATTAGATTTAGAATTATAATAACATTTTTACAGTATTAGTCAAAGTGAACTATAATAAAATAGAAACTGAGATGATGGTAAAAAATCATTCTACTTTAATTTTTCATTTCTCCATTAACAATGAGAATTCTAGCCTCTTAAATTATTCCATGTTTATGCTTAGAACTAGTTGGTACAAAACTAGAACTCTTCTATTTCTTTTTCTGCATATATTTTATTTTCTTTATCTTCTCTTCCTCCGATGGATATATTATATCAGAAAATCTCTCAGACATTATTAACGAAAAATTTTATGTGGGTAGGAAAATTTATACAAGTGGATATTTTCACCTGTGAAATTATTTGGTCATGCTCTTTCGGGTTTTTGTTAAAATTTTAAGTAAAAGTTTTAAGTTAAGAATTTTTTTGATAAGCCCCTTAAAATCCCTTAAGGCGAGTTTTCTGATTTTTTTGAAAACTATGGAGGGTTATGTGACAGACGTTCACAGTTAAGGTGGTTTTCTCATACATAACCTATAAATTACAGTAAACTCTCTAATAAATAATCTATTTTTCAAGAAAATCACATGATCTGATGAGTCAGCATAAAACATAGTTTTAGTTTTGTATTATAGTTTTGCTTTTCAAATATCCTAATTTATGTATGCACTTGGAAGACACATGAAAAGAGATCTCTCAAATGCTGATACCTGAATTTTTTTAGGTAAACGTCGTTTGGACAATATTTTCATAAAAACCCTAGAAGCTTGAGACGCACCAAAGATAAACAGATGAAAAAGCCATTAGTTTCCAGAACTGAAATCTAGAAAAGAAAAAGGGGGAAAATATTAATTCTGGAATAAACTTTGGGATAAGTAGGACAATTTTTGGGACATTATTTTATGGTGTTATTCATTGTGACAATGAGACTTGGATTTTACTTTAAGGTGTTATTCATTGGGATAATGAGATTAGAACAATTACCCACATTTTGTCCAGAATTATCTCACTTCTAAACAAACTTTTGTCCCAACCTCTAAAAATTACCTCATTCTTAACTTTGGGACAATCATGAGGAAAATGGGATAATTTTGAAGCACTAATTTATTAAATATCTAATATATGTATTATAATATATAATATATCTTAATTATATTATATTATAAGATTCTACTCTAACCTAAGATAATAAAATATTATATAATACTATCTAATATTATATTATTATATATCATTGTTACATATTGGTTAATAATATTTCATATATTATAATATTAGTATTATATTATTATAATATTACTTTATATTATTTAGTATATGTTTTATTAGTTAGGATAAAAATATTATTGTAATATTTTTATAATATAAAATATGGTATTATAATTTAGTGCTTATATATTTAATATAACAATATATTAATTATATTATAATATAATTTATTATATAATAGTTTACTATTTTCTATTATACTTTATTATATTAATTAATAGTCTTAAATATATTGTCAATATTGTGGTAGTTATAATATTAAATAATATTTTATTACTACAATAAAAATTATAATAATCTACTACATATTAAAGTATGATAATATATATATAATTAATATAATTATTATATTATTTAATAATGTTTTTAATTAATAAGATTGAACATATTAATAGTATATTATGGTTATTATACCATTATGATTTTAATAAGGAGCCATGTCATGCAATTATTATATTTAAATTATAGTAATTATCATAAAATAAAATAAAATATTTATAGTTTTTAGGTAATATATATAATATTATAAATAATACTATATTGAATTAAACAAAATATTATAATATTTAATAAATATTTTATTAAATATATTGTTTGTATATTATATCAATTATTATATAATATATCATATTATTATAATATATTATATTATATTATAGTATAAAGTAAAATAATATATTATATTATAATATCATATCAAATAATATATTAAACTAATTAGTTGAATTAATTTAGACTTAACTGATAGATAAATATTGTACTTTAATAAGGTGTCACAACATCAATTATCCCACATTAAGTATCAAATCAAAGCTTTAATTGTCCCATTATCCTAAAGAAAAATTCTTTAATGACCCAAAATATGGGACCAATAGGGGGGACAAATGAGGTGTCCCCCTCCTATTGGATAATGAATTGGTCATCATTAATGATGGCCAACTCATTATCCAATAGGAGGGGGACACCTCACTTGTTCCCTTTATTGGTCCCATATTTTGGGTCCCTGTAGCAAAGCTCTATCCTAAAATATCTCAAAGAGATAAAATTATTCCATTAGAATAATTATCTCACCTAACACCAACTTGTCCCAGCCAATAAATCCCCCAACAGTTTAGTACTAACAGGCAGGACTTTTTCGAACTTACTAGGTGATGGACTATTAAGTGTTCACCAGTTATGCAAATTACCCCCCTCAAATCCCAATCAATTACCACATATAAACACCCTCCGAAAACCGACGATAAAGATTCCTTTCTCGCCTCACTTCTCTTCAAGCTAAATCCTCTCTCTCTCTCTCTCTCACTCGCTATCTCGCCGGAGATTCTGCTACCACCGGAAATATCCTCTGCTTGACTCTCGCCCTCATCGGCCTCATCTTTCTCGACGCCATCGCTGGCGACGTCTTCTACGTCCTCTACCACCCTACTCACCCCACCTTCACCGTCTCTTGGATAAACCTCGCTATTGTATCTCGTCGTCACCGCTCAAAACCGTAACAGAAAAATCTCCTTCCTCTATGATCCTATCTCGATCGCCGTTTCCTCCGATGGCGTCGCCTTCGGCGGCGGATCTTTCCCAGCGTTCGTCCACGGGGCGAAGAACACCACGGTGATGATGGCCGTGGTGTCGAGCAAAAGATAAGAGCTTGGATTCGTCGGCGGCGGCGGAAGAGCAAGCTGCCGTTGGCGATCGATCTTGAAACTAGGGTCGGGGTTAAGATCGGAGGGTGGAAGACGAAGAGGATCGGGATCGAGGTGAGCTGCCGTGGATTTGGCGTCGCCGTTCCCAAGAAAAAGGCGGGAAAGTTAGCTCCGTTGAAAGCCGATGACAGCTGTAAGGTGAAGTTAAGCATCAAGATCTGGAAGTGGACGGTCTAAATTCGTAAATTTACGTTTGAGTTATTTTTATTTTATTTTTTTTCCTGTTCTTTTTTGTCGGTATTTTTTTGACTTGTATTTGAATGTGAGAGTGTGCTATACTTCTTTTTTCTTTTCTTGTTTTAAAGTTTTAAAATATGTTTTTTGAGGTTAATGAATAGGGAAAGTCCTAGACTGTTGTGGGCCTCGAATTCTACGGTGACGGTGTGGGGGGGTCAAATTGCCAATAAAAATTGATTTGTTTTGTTGACAAATGGGGGTGCTTTGGGATTAGTTATTTGTTGGTGGTTGATTGGGATTTCTAAGATGGAATTATTAAATAAATGGGATGCACATGCTGATGAGACACCTGCGATTCTTGTGACTTTGGTTTTTTTCCTTTCTTTCTTTTTTTTTAATTTAATGTGAGTTCATGAGAGTCATTACAACAATGCTATTTGGCAGGCATGGTATCGCGTACGGGCATCGCCTGTCCTATGTGGATCTTGACGTGCGCATCCTACGTCGATCCAACCAAGTCAGGAAATTAATTTTGATCTTATTTTTGTGAAAAAACACCAGTGACCCATTCCTCCGCTCTATTCTCTCTCCTCACTTTAAATTAATTTCTCATCTACACCGGTGACCCATTCCTCTGGCCTATTCTCTTCCTCACTTCAAATTAATTTCCCATCTCCCCGGCGACTCAAGCGACCACCGTCGGAAGCACGCCCGAACTCAAGTGAGAAGGATCGCCGTAGTCTCCGCCCATCGTCGGAGTCGGCCCCTCGCTCGAGTTCGCTGTAGTCCCCTCCCCAACAGATCTAGGGTTTGGCAAATTTCTCAAACTTTAATCTTTCAAGTTAGGATTTTTTTCTGTAGATTTCTCATCTAATTTTTAGGGAATGCATGTTGATGCTTTAGATTTTTACAAATTTCTGATTCAATTTTATGAATAAATTATTAATTATGGTTTTTAAAGTTGAGATTTTTTTGAAGAATTCTCATCTAAATTCTAGGGATTGCATGTTGATACTTTAGATTTTTACAAATTTCTGATTCATTTCTAGGGATTGCATAATAAAATCCCTGATAATTCAAGGTCATCACATCTTTCATGGAAACTAATAAGGACAAATTCTATATTCCCAGATACATAAACACAGTAGTATTCTAACCATCGATTCCTTTTGGTGCAGCTCTTTGTGATAATTTGTGTACTGATCAATTAAAATGCTTTGTAATTAGCAACCTTCGAATTAAAACTTAAGTGCCAATAGTATAGTGTGGAGTAAGCTCACAAGGTAATTGATAGAGATGACTTGATTTACCCTCTTCAAAGTTCAAACAGAACGAATAAAAGGCGACTTTTTAAATATGCAACAAGAAAGGAGACCATTAGGATTAACAGCTCGGATGTAATCTAAGAATTCTTTTTTACTTCATTCCGCCTTCAGAATATTATTGTTATATACTTAATGGACTCAAACAGCTGCTCCTTCATGGGATAGATACCATCCACTTATGAAATACGAATTTAGAATTTAGAATTCCAAACAAATATTTAGATACCATAACAACAAATATCCGAAGTAATACGAATTTAGAATTCCAAACACGCACATAATAACAAATATCCGAAGTAACAAATTGTCACCTACTTTTTCATTACAATTCCATAGAACAAAGATTTTCATAGAACATAGTTGAGTTAGCAAAATATTACAAGGTCTAAACTAAAAACATATCCTTACTTGGATATTATTACAAGAAAGATAGACATCATGAAACTAACAGAAATTCCAAGTAGAAAGTCTTTTTCCTGGATATGTTTCTTCCAAATTCCATTTTCTCTTCCCCATGTATTCTTGATCTCAATTTCTCATTTTCAATTGAAAGATCTTCATACTTGCGAATAAATATATTCATTGAGTCACGAGCGTAACTTGGTACTTCGCCATAATTTAACCAAGTTCAACAATTACAAGTGTTTGTAAGAAGTCTTCATTTGCACTGGAATCCTACAATAGCAATTAGGAATCTCGTATGGAGGTGAACGATTCCACATTGCACATATAGCCTCTTATTAAAGAACCTTGCCCATTTAGAAGATGATGATTGTTTAGAAGATATTGACAACATGATTCTGCGGGAAATAATCATAGTTAGAATGTAACTCACCATAATTAACACCCACTGTAATATTCTGCAAGGAATATTTTTTTTTAAAAAATCAAAATTATGTTAAGAGATTATACAAAAGTGTATTTTCTTCTTAAAAAAAAATTCACGGCTGAAGATTCATTTGAGCTCACTTTAAATATTATATTATGCAATAATATTTATCCATATTAATTTTTATAATAAAAATTGTAGCTTAAAAAATTTCACGGCTGAAGAGATTCTCCTCTGCACAGGACTATAAATATTCTAACAAATGAATCAAGATTTGTAAAAATCTATAGTATCACATGCAATCCCTAGAAATTAGATGAGAATTCTTCAAAAAAAAAATCTCAACTTTAAAAACCCTAATTAATAATTTATTCATAAAATTGTATCAGAAATTTGCAAAAATCTAAAGCATCAACATGCATTCCCAATAAGTTAGATGAGAAATCTACAGAAAAAAAATCCTAACTTGAAAGATTAAAGTTTGAGAAATTTGCCAAACCCTAGATCTGTTGGGGAGGGGACTACGGCGAACTCGAGTGAGGGGAGGGCGGAGATGCCGGCGACGTGCGGAGACTATGGCGGTCATTCTCACTTGAGTTCGGGCGCGCTTCCGGCGGTGGTCGCCCGAGTCGTCGGAGAGATGAGAAATTAATTTGAAGTGAGGAGAGAGAATATGGCGGAGGAATGAGTCACGGGTGTAGATGAGAAATTAATTTGAAATGAGGAGAAAGAATAGGACGGAGGAATGGGTCATGGGTGCTTTTTCACAGAATTGAGATCAAAATTAATTTTTTGACATGGCTGGATCCACGTAGGACGTGCGATGCCCCTGCGCGAAACCCTGCTTGCCAAATAGCATTGTTGGAGTCATTATTATTGAGGAATGAAGTAAAAGAGGCTTCTACAGGGACAGTCATTATTATCCACGAGTCGGAGTCGACGCGGATTGCTCTATGCCAATTGTTGCTGTTTAATTCTAATTATTTTTCTCTTACATCCTTCGGTCAACTTGAAAATGATATTTTTTTTTGAGAGAAAAACAAGGGATGTTCCCTGTTCATTAAAAAACAAAAGTATGTTTACAAAAGCAGGATACGAAGTGTATCCATTAAGATTAGTGGATAGAAAAAATAGTTTCTCTTACTAGGGATGTAGGACCTTCTTCTTACAAACATCCATGAAGATGAAGAGAGGGCCTTGCCGTCATTCACCGTTGACATGGATATAAGTGAGAACCAAAGCCAGCCATACATTTGGATAAGAGAAATTAGATTTTCTATAGACTAATTGAAACTAACACTTAAACATCATAATGTTGATATGTACATAAGACATTATAGAAAGCTAAGAGAAAGCTGATATGACGAGCTAAATACTGTTGCTCCGCAAGATTGGTCTTTCTTCTAACACCGCTGCTAGCTTTAGTGCCTTCTTCCCTCTTCCAGGACCTGACCATTCATGTAAATTAGAAATTGCTGAGTTGATGATAGAAGTAGCAGAGAATACTGAATTTTCAAAAATAGATTTATTTCTTGTTGTCCATAAGCTCCAACACACTGCAGAGAAAATTGATCGCCATAAAATCCCATCAGAGTGGCGAAGGGATTCAACAACCTTAAGGAGTTCATATAAAGATGCTGGCCATATGAAAGGGAGGTAAGAGTCACAGAAATGTTTCCATACGGATTTGGTAAGACTACACTCAAAAAACAAGTGTTCACAAGATTCCAAAAATAAACCACATAAAATGCATGTAGAGTCTCCTTGCCATCCCTTCTTTATAAGATTTTCTTTTGTATGCAACCTGTTTCTGGATAGAAGCCATGTGAAGAATTGGAATTTACTTGGCATTACTGGATTCCAAACAGTTTTATAATAAGCAGATAAAATTCCTCTGGTGTTAAGGAAAGAATAATGAGATTTGACTGAGAATCTCCCATTGGATGTAAGGGACCAGGTGGGTATGTCAACATTATTAGTAGCAATGTATAAGCCAATATGATTCATAAGATCAATCTTTGCATTAGTTGAGGAATCAGAGATGCTTCTCTTGAGAAGAGGATGCCAGCGCCATATATGATTATGGAAAAAACCCTGAGAACGAATGCTGACATTTGAAGACAGTGATAATTTATACAAAGTCGGATAAAGACTTGATAATGTGTTATTACCAATCCATTTATCTTCCCAAAATCTAATTTTGTCACCAGATCCAAGAGACCATTGCAGAAGATGAAGAAATAAATCTTTGATTGATATGATATCATTCCAAAACATAGAATTTGAAGGACTGCAGGAAGTTGATTGCAACTGAGAGTCTTTCCTGATATAAAGTTGATGTAAGAGAGTTCCAATTAAAGAATCTCTATCAAGACATTTCCATAACCATTTGGATAAGAGAGCATTATTAAAAAATTTGAGGTCCTTCACACCCAATCCTCCCTCAAATTTACTTAGACACACTGTCTTCCAATTTACTAAGCACTTGAATGGTTTAGAGATATTCTTGCCAGTCCATAGAAAATTCTTTCTAATTTTATCCACCTCTTTAATCACCCATGAAGGTAATTTGTAAAAAGACATAATATAATGGAATAGATGAAAGAACAGAGTTGAGCAAAACAAGTCTACCACCAAAGGATAAACATGAACTCTTCCAAGAAGCAAGTTTCCTATACATATTATCCAACATAGGTTGCCAATCAGATTTTGCTAATTTACCATACTTTAGAGGCAATCCTAAATATTTAATAGGAAGATAATCAAGTTTGCAATTCATGGAAGCAGCAAGAACATGTCCTCTATTATGCAATTTACCGAAGTAAATAAGAGATGATTTGGAGAAATTAATTCCCAACCCTGAAATATCTTCAAAAATATATAATATTGCCTTTAGAATGGATATGTCATTCTTGGTACTTCTGACAAAAAGAAGAGTATCGTCTGCAAATTGGAGGCTCCTAATTTGGTTGAGTGGTTCCTTAATTCCAAGATTGGATAATAAACCCTCTTCCATATTGAGTCTGATCATCTTGCA